CACATTTGAGTATAGCGACGATAAAGTTAGTAGGCAAGCTATAGACCCAGCTATCATATCTTCCTTACTTCAGGCCACTGTAGGTTTTAATCGCTTACTTGATCTAAGTGTGTTGTGTTACCGGCCTGACTGTTCATATTTTTTCCCAGCCAACTTGTACATCTTTCTAGTTAATCCCTATCTCGGATTACTCCACCGGCTCTGTCTAGTGACTGTAGTTGTCGGCTCAACTCTGAAAAAAAACGAAGCCAGTCAGCTTTACCTTACTACTACAACACATTATACGCCGACATATACATCGAATCCGTATGATGCTTTGCTCCACAGCTCACTAAACACTCATCCATACATTATTGCGGTACGTTTCTGCTTGACATGGTAGCTCACACCAACGCACTCGCCCTGAATATCACCATTTCGTCCCCACTGTCTTATTGACAACTGTCATTTCACTGCCTCCTCCACGACTTGCCTATACCAGCGTCTGTTCGCTTTTCGCTTGTTCGAATTGGCTGAGCTGATTTTGTTGGCCTCGCTTTCATCCCGACCGAAAAAAACCGGTAGCTGGAGTACTTTTCTAATGCACAAACCGCACTTACGACTGCTTGAACGGTTTTCCAACTTGCAGATCTGGTAGCATGCATGTGTGGCGGATGGGTACGCCCTGCAGGGAGGGCCGCTCTGTTACGTTGCACCACCCCTCCAGTAGCCCGTGTGCATCCCCATCGCCGGTGGTTCTGAGCCTGGCCTTTAAGTTTAGGATTCTTGCTGCTGGTGTTGGCTTCACCTCGGTTGAGTTGCTTGGCAGTGACATATGCAACAACAACAAAACAAAAACTGGCCTTTCGCTAGTCCAAAAGTATTAAAAAAACAATTTACCTGGGATAGCCGGATGCAAGTGCGATGCCCATGGCCTACGTCCACATGCACAGCTGTAGCTGCCTTCGTCACACACACCGCCACACCGCACCAAAACCCACCTCGTCAACTAAACAAAAAGACGCACCAACTTGCCGCTCACAGGAGTGGACACATACGACGCATAATCATAAAGTTAGACTCCAGACTTTCCACCATTAGCATGCGGGGCTAGTCTCAGAAGTCATGCACCACTCATCGATTAAAGCTGATAGTATTGCTCCGGGGACTGATGATCAGCTCTCTTACATACGCCTTCCCCATAGATTGTCCTAGTGTCTTCCAACTCACTAATAACCCCCAAGGAATATAGTCCACCATCTCAGAATTTACACACCTGCCAGTCGTTACGTGTTTGGTTACAGTGAACTGTCCTGTCTCAGGCAGTATAGTTATATTGGCAATCTTAGCTTGACTTAGATTGCTACACTACTGCGTGCAAATCCATCTTTATCCTGCATCGTTTTTGACCACCTGGTTTCACCGGCATAGCCCTGGTAGGCATTCATTTTTCCCCTATTAAAAGACTATATCCTGTCTGATGACTTCTATAACTCTCCAGACCTTACTGATCTCATCTCATTTCATCTTCTTGCCAAGTTTCGACCAGTGGCGATACGCGCTATGGATGACCAGTTTGGCCGTTGTCCACTCCACCTGATCTGTGCATTACGAAAGAACGGATCCCCGACCTGGAAAAAAAGAAGAAACAGCAACACATACTACGGGCGATATTACATCGGTTCTGCTCATCCTGAGAAATCCCCCGGGAAACGCACAACATTCCGTTGATCACAGGACTGCGCATCTCAACCTAACTACCTCAATCATGACGTCCGTCACGGGGCTGTCTAGAAACCGAAGTATCTCAGTGCAGTGATAGTACGGCACTGTGGTACCCAGTTTGATAGCACACCCGCGATTGTTCACTTCCTAATTTGACCGCGCCCTAGCCCACTCGTTCCTTTACCGGCAACCACAACCAGTCCCCATTTGTCACCAGCCACCACAAGGAGGCGTTCATCGCAATCTGCCCAACCTTCTGTCGGATGTAAAGATCCCGGCGACTTTTATTCGTGCTCCTCACCAAGTTAGTCAATTTTCGTGCAGTTTTTGTGGACTCATTCTCCTAATTAACTTTTACACTCGACCCTGCTCCAGCAGCAGCACTAGTGGGTCGCTCAGGTTTCACTGCACACTGTGATTCCGAGTTTCCTGCCACCGTTTGTCCGTACTGCATATTGCCCCAATTCACCATCCCTGCTTACGTTTTCCGTGACCTTACGCCCAACAGCCCAAGGCCCAAGCTTTAGTTGAGAAATGCCGGCCATATCTTGGCAGATCTGCTGTTTCTCCGGATCCATTATTCAGGCTCCACACTTCCTCCAGTTTGAAGCTTTTTTGGTTTTTGTCACGTTCCAGGCAGGGAGATTTGTTATGCCCTCACGTGTATTGCTTTTTGCCCGCCACTTTTAAATCCCAGCGACCAGACCTTGCGTCATCTGATATGTCCTCCATAGGAGATAAAGAGCCTTTATAATTTTGGATCCCTACCCATGCCACCTCAGGTCTGATGAAGTCTACTCAATTACCACTGTTGACGTATCCGTCCCTTTTCCGGGAAATTCCCATTAATCGCAACCCCCATCACTACTGCTGTTATTCTGAATGTAACATTATGATCATGCCTGACGGTATGGTATCCACTAGCTGTGAGTAAATATTATTATTATACATGGGGCATGTTTAAGTTTGTCTGAGATCCCTGATATCTGAATCTCAAGTCTTCGCCAGCAATGCGCGTCTTTCTTGAACAAATTAGACTTTGACCGGCTTCAGTGGGAAAAATGTATAAAACCATTTTCCAGCAGGTTCACGAGGCTGACGCGATGTGTTTCCAAAAAAACCAGAACGCACTCAGATGAACAGAAGGCTCCCAAAAGAATTCAGCATCTTCTGGAAAAAAGGTCTTAACTTTTTCCAAAACGTCGCATGCGGTGGTTACAGAAGATGAGCTGGCGTTTCGTAAAATAAAAACCAGAACTCAGATGAACAGAAGGCTCCCAAAAGAATTCAGCATCTTCTGGAAAAAAGGTCTTAACTTTTTCCAAAACGTCGCATGCATGCGTTACAGAAGATGAGCTGGCGTTTCGTAAAATGCGGAAATGCAGTAAATCAGAACTCCGCCAAAGGAACATACAAAAACAAGCCATTACCTTGGACCTCGCCCGAAAAAACAAAAACGTCTTGTTCAAATACATGAGACACCACGGCAGAAACAACACATCCGCGTTCTCCTTGAGAGCCAGGAATAAAGAACCGTCTGGTTACCAAACAGTTGTATCTCAGGTTTACAGAGTACACTATGCGTGTCTATACTCAGCCCCAGCGTCCTCGTCACATCCACTATTGTCAAGGATGAACCACTAGCAGCCTCTAACCGACTTGGTGTTCACGGTGGAGGACACTCGTCACCTCTTCCACAAGATCAACCAGTTCTGCGCGTTGGGGCCCGACGAGGTCCATCTAAGGATCCTGAAAAATGTCCTCCACACTGGCAAACCATTTACACTTGGTGTTTCGTCAGTCGCTTGACGAAGGCCGCCTTCCCTCTGCTTGGAAGGAAGCGATCTTTACGCCAATCTACAAAACTGGTGACCGACTATCGCCTGGCAGCTATAGGCCTATAAGCCTCACTAGCGTGCCGTGCAAGGTGATGGAACGCATTCTGAAGCGAGCCATCCTAGATCACCTTAATTCCAGCAATCTGATATCTCCATCTCAACACGGATTTCTCCCAAACCGTTCCTGCGTGACAAACATGCTCGTGTTTATGGACAGCTTAACCCAAGCCAAGGACGAAGGACTCATATCGGATGCCATATTTTTCGACTTCTCAAAAGCATTCGATAGGGTCCCACACGTCCCGCTGCTCCACAAACACGAGTCTTACGGGATTCAAGGGAAAATCCCTCGCTGGATCAAGGCGTTCCTATCAGACAGATCATACCGAGTGAGAATAGGCTCTACCTTCTCCTCACCGGCGCCGGTCTCCATTGGAGTTCCTCAAGGCTCCGTCTTGGGACCACTCCTGTTTCTGATCTACGTCAACGACCTCCC